TTCAATCTATCGAACTTTCAAGTTTCCTGGATATGTGCAGAGATCCCAAATTGCTGGGTTGGAACTTTGGTATTCCAGAACCTCAGTGGGATAATTTTGGCAACACAGTGGAGGAAGCATTCAACAATCCTTTATTTGCCAAATTGCACTATCGCTTCAAGCAGGAGGAAGAGATTGGTCGTGTCATGCACCTTGTGTCGGAACTTGTTTGTGACTTTTTCATCAAGGTGCTTCCCAAGTGGGTTCTTGACCACTCGATCTTGTGGGAAGAGTTTATGATTTTGGATCCAGACACAAATCTCCCAGCCTACAAGACTTCAGAGGCCGCCTTACAAGCAGAAGTGAACCCAGAGAAGTATCATACACATTTTGCTATGAACTTCAAGAAATTCAGGTTTTCTGCAAGAGTGGTGTGGTATTTGATTGACCGTGACAGGAATCATTTAGAGAGTTTTCTTCACAACTCCAACAGCAGATTTGTGCAACATGCATGCTATCAACTTCGTGAATATGTTCAAGCGCGTGTTGCAGTTTCTGATCCCTTGTATGAGATGATCAAGAAGGAAGAGTTTGAACGCCAATACAACTCCAAGTTTTTGGAGGCGATTTCTTGCTCTCGTGTTGTAGTTGAGCCTGTAAGTTCAGGGACGTATGAGCCATCATCGAAGCTGAACTTAAAGGTACTACAAAACATCCTGAAGGGTGTCTATAAGATCCAGAAGGATGAGGAGCTTGCCAGAGAACGTGAGGAAGAAGAAGAACAGGCAGCTCAAAACATCTCAAACTTGTTGGCAGATGATATGGAGCTTGATTTTGATGATGACAACGTACCAGTATGGCGCTCCATTGTCAACAAGTATAGAGAAGGTGATCAGGTGCTACAAAGAGAAGCAGTGAAGATTACTCATCTTTTCAAGGACAAAAAGGACAATGAGAAGGCAACAGAAGTTTTCAGTTCAGAGAGGACAGATTTTCATGAGACCTCAGAACCTCTTCCAAGGACTATGGGAGAAAATCTTGTAGAGGACTTGCTCACCAAGAATGTCGCAGAACAAGCCTTTGAGGCAGGTGAAGAAGTTCCTCCTTACACAAGAGTCTCCACTATCGCTGGTGGAATCTACACTGGTAGTCTGATGTTGACGAAAGATAAAGATATGGAAGAGGAAGTCCCTGAAGAAGGTCCTGCAGTTGAACCTGAGAAGGATGAAGAAATGTTTGATGAGAATGCAGGTGCTTTTCCTTCAGAGGGACCAAAGATGGAAGTTGACCAGGAGGAAACCAAGGAGGAGTCAACACCAGACTTTCTGTCAAGAGAGATAGGTGAGGACTCAGCTGCATCGTACTTACCATCAGGTGAGAAGGATGCTAACCTTGTTGATACTTCAGGTCAGCGGAAATCTAAGAGAAGCCGCCTGAATAAGATTCCTGATCCTCATTTTCATGAAGAAGTTCAGGATGATGCAACTCTTGAGGAGAAGAAGAAGGCGGTGAAGAAGATAAGAGAGGTCAGAGAGGATGATGGAGAGAAGAAATTGGAGGCTGAAATCCAAGAGTCTTTTCCATCTGAAGTAGTTGTTGATAAAGATCCTGTGGATGCTGACACTACCTATGAGTTGCATACCTCACCTTTGAGGTTGCTTGGAGAGCTTACAGAAGTCCCAGGTATTGGCTTTTATCAACTATGCTTCAGGGAAACTCACGCGAGATTGTTGAACCATGTTTGTTTCAGGAAAGGTGAGATTTCCCATCCTCATTATCAGTCGAGGATCAACGAGGATGATTTTGTTCGATCCATTCGAAATGTCTGTCCAGTACCTCCACCTGATTGTTATGAACATGACTCAGAGCATGATTTGAAGAGGTTTTTCATCAATGATGATCGCATCAGTTATTTGGATGGCAAGTATCAGGTCGATCCAAAGGCCTTTGAAAAGGCAGAGCATGCTCGAGAAGAATTGGAGGATACTAAGAAGGAACTTAAGAAAGAACTGGAATCATATGGTCCCAATGGACCCAATTGGGACTTTGTCACCTTCTATGAAGAGCTGTGCAGAAGGTTCCTCAAGGGAAGAATAGAAGAACAATATGGAACCAACTTATCGGCCAGCTCAGAGTCCTTGACGTTCTTATCCTGGAACTATGGCAACATGGTTCGTGGTCAGAAGTACACCACACCAAGGTTTCTCCAAGGACTTGATAGTGCAATGAGGCCACGCAAACAGAGCGCCATGTCACTTCAATATGAGCAATTTGAGAACAACCTTTTCTTCAATATGTTCTTCTTTTTACATGCACATGTCGTGATTCTCCAGGAAGCTCATCTCCTTGTTCCTGCCAAGGAATTCATTGAGCAAAAGAATTGGACAGTTTGTTTCAATGATTGGGAGAATCTTGCAGTGATGGCTAGATTGGCACCAGGTGGATATGTCAAGATCATTGCTGGACATGACCAAGACCTTGGTCACTGTGAACAGCGTGATGTAACTTGGGCTATCTACGAGATTTGTTTTGGAAAAACAAGGCCTCGTCAAGAATTCAAGGATGCAGACTTTGAATTTGATGACTATGGTCCTGGGGACCAGCGTGTTCCACTTACTCGAGCGAACATGCATACCATCAGAGTCTGTAATTATCATGTTGACACACACCGTGCTGTGGATGCCCACCTACTGACAGGAGAACAGACAGCATTGATGCTTTATGAGTGTTTTGTCTATGAGGTGGACATCATTTCTGGTGATGCAAATAGTTTGGCCTACAGAATGTCTGGGTACAAAAGGCAGCCAATGGCTAACTATTATTATAGCACCATGCAGCATTGGATCCGCAGGTTTTCAGAAGCCCGTGTAAAAGCAGATCCTGGTATCAAAGCACCTATTCCCAGAACATTTTACAGTTCATCTTCACAAGTCCTCAAGCAGTGTGAAGATTACTTTGAGAAACTCTGGGAAGAATACTCTACAGAAGAGAAAGAAGAGTACCAGGGATCAAAGCTTGGAGATACATGTTTGTCTACCATTGTTGAATGGGGTCATTCGATGAGTGAAGAGGAATATGAAAATTCCACAGTGAGCACGAAGGAGTTCATCTGTAATTTTTCAGAGAACTTTGCTATGATTGACACGGAGGTTATGTGCTCAAGGCCCACTGACGAGGACAGTCATGGTCCAATGTTTATTTCACTCAGACCAGCTTCCTATTCATCTGGAGACAGAAGACAGTATCGCATGGGAGCAACTCTTCATGAGGCGAAACTGCGGAGGAAGGAGAGACAGAGAATAAGAAGAAAGGAAGGCCGCCAACTTCTGATCAAGCAGCTTCATCGACTGCAGCGGCATAAAACTCAGAGCGAAGGCTTACTTTTAATGATAGCTAGGAAGTGAAGATACTTCTGATCACGTTTATTACTTTGCTTCCAAGCTTGACTTTAAGTTACCAGGCTAAAGTTTTAATGGATTCTGGTTTGCAACAAGGAGAAACTTTTTGTCAAGGAAGATACTCCTGCATTCCAGGTTTATACGCTTTAGCATGCAGATAAGTACAGTTTACTAAACGGTTATTATCTGCAGGTAGGTATGGACAGTTTTCCAGAACTGATGATAACTACCACAGTCGCTCTTTTGAGATGACCTCTAATGGACAACCATTCATGGTTGATGATTAAGTCATTTCATAAGTTTGCATTTGTAGTGCAAGTTTTGTACATACATTTGCCGGTGTCTCCTTCCTTTGTTTTTGGTGTCAATGAGAGTAAGAGTCCTTTTGATGCAGTGTATGGAAGCGGCCGAGACCACTTTTAGAGAAGAACAATCCTCGGACCGAGAGTTGACGCTCCTTGCATTTTGCAAGGCATCGTAATTCATTGCAATTTGTGCGGTCTTGAATTTTTAGTTCTTCGTTACGCGAGTGTCGTTTACTGCTTTTACAGGTCTCTGTGTAAGAAAGCCGCTTTCCTTCGAATTTAAGTTTCTTTTAAGCTCTGGCTTTTTAAGGGCTATTGAGCGCCGGTATACGGTATCTTCGCCGGTTGAACAATACAGTCTCCAGCCGAGATACATCGTCGTTGACTTTGTAGTTGAGGTGAGTCAGCTATTGCTCCCTCACTGTATTTAGTAGACCTTGAGATTACCTTTTCTATAGTATGAAACATACTAGAATTGGTAAGTACAAGGCACCGTGGTTTCCTTTTAAGCATTAGAGCTGCTGGACTGTTTTAGCCTTGCGGTAGAAAAAGAGTATGCGACATACGGAATAGGCAGGAGTGGACATGAATTTTGTGCCTGTTGAAATGTAGAGGCATACTTGTACAGGTTCCACTCCAGTGGCCTATCTAGTGTGTCCATGCTTGACTGCCATAAGGCTCAAGAGATATAGGATAAGACTCTGCGTGAGCAAAAGACACTAGCGGTCTGCACCTCTACCGTGTACGCCCTAGTCACTCTTTCACCCCCTCCCCCCCTCTAAAATCAATTCTCTCCTGGAGAACGTCTTCGTGAGCCTCTCATGATTTCAGGATAGTTGAAGCCCCCTTGAACATTTGGAAAGAGTGAATATGAAATTCTAATCACGAAAGGTGTTCCCCGAGGGGATACATACCTAGTGTTTGTTTTGTGAAGCACGTCAATTCTCTCCTGGGGAGCGTCTTCGTGAGCCTCTTATGGTTTCAGGATAGTTCAAATCCTATGATGTTCCGATTCAATGCCCACCGATGATCTGAGCCATGGGGCAAGTTTGTTTTCCTAAGAACCTTTTTGAACATTTCGAGAGCATATGTTTGAACATTTAGAGTGCATATGAACATATATTTACGAAAGGTCGCCTCCGAGGGGATAAATCACCATGTCGAACATTGCATTTTTGTTCCTGCCTCTCGCGTTCTCTTCTCTTCCCGCTGTCCTACCTTTCGTGTCTCCCTCCTCTCAAGTAGGCTATCTAAATTCGTCCCAGAGAACCGTTCCAACACCAATCTCGCCAGCCGGAGCCATGTTTGCTCCTGTCAGGTGCAGAACCTGGTGCAGGAGCCGCATGCTGTCTAGCGGATTCCACTTGAATTTAATTTCCTAATTCCACGGATTCCACCACTGTGCTTTTGGACCTCACCCCTTTGTGCCTCAATCCTTTCACCTCACTCCCAGGACAGAGACGATAACTTCAGCATGGCCTTGGAGTGGCTGGTGGAGCGTAATGATCCCAAGATCATTTGCCATCCTGCAGTGGTTCTGTTCTCTGATCTCTTGTGGACAAGGCTAGTGCAGCATCTCGAAAGCACATCCACTCCACTCTTGAGCAGCTTTATGATCAAGACATTCGCAGCAATAGGGGACCGGAGAGTGGGTGGAGATGCGATGGGACGCTGACCGAGGTACGACTTCTTGCTTGGCCGATGCTACTTTCTTTTCTGCTTGTGTGTGCTTTGGCGCACACTGCCGAGACGTGCTGAAATCAAACTGTTGAGGTTAGATGCAAGATGTCCTTCGACATGTGCCGTGCATTTTGCCAAGTTTGCTCGCTACCCGCATCGCAAGGTCTTCATCACTGGGCAGGCCATCTTGGGTTCGCCAGAGCCAAGCATGGGTGAACGAGTAGCCATCTTCTCCTGCCGGATTTTCATCTATTTGGGAAGCATGTGCCGGATCCTCTACTGTGACCTGGCTGCCAATCCAGAGTGCCAAGTGGTGCAAGAGTGCTGAAATACTGCAAGCTTTCCGCCACACTGCCCAGGCCAGATAAAGCTCCTCTATGATGACATCAAGACCGGAGCAATTGCACGTGTTTGGAAAATCCCGGTCCCAATGTGCCTCGGCCAAAGCCTGCACCATGGACGCTCATGGCCGATGCACTTGAAGCAGATTTGTTCGGGATTCGGGATGTTGAAAAGCATTCAATTGTGTCCTTGCTCCAGTAGCTTCTTGTTCCTAGTAGTAAGGCCAGGAGCCCCTAGTAGCGTCCTTGCTCCTAGTAGCGATGCCAGGAGCCCCTAGTAGCGTCCTTGCTCCTAGTAGCCATGCCAGGAGCCCCTAGTAGCGTCCTTGCTCCTAGTAGTAAGGCCAGGAGCCCCTAGTAGCGTCCTTGT